TTTCCTCACAGATTGCCAATATGGAAAAATTAGTACTTTAATATAGGCACACAGACACATATCCTACCATAAATGACCTCTTTTTGGTCCTGCACTCTTTATTCAAGACTTTCCTCAGCAATGCAGTCATTCTTTCCCTCTGAAAAAGTTTGCTCTCTGCGATGACTAAATCGGAAATGAAGGATATGACCTGGCCATTCACATGTTTTTCATAATCTGGGAATAGGTTCCCGAACGGCACAAGGCTGCACAGGATGTGTCTCATTTTGCATGCAGGTTCATAACCCCTGAGTAACAGAGGACATGCAAGGCGTACAGTTCCAACAACTGTGTGAACTACTGTGATCCTTTTCTAGGGCATTGTGTAATCCAGCTGGGATTGTGAGAGTTGTTCAGAAAATGATCTAAGGGCCATCTTTTTTTTTTTTTTTTTTTCTCCCGTTGCTCCCCACTGTCAGAGTGACCCTCTTTACTGGAAAGGTTTTCTCAAGATTGTCTCTTCCATCAGGAGTGCAGCCTTGGCTTCCCACAACACTTCAGTGAAGGGAATCTGCCAGAATGCTTTTGCTTTCATATATAGAAATTTTCCTCAGGGCAGGAGACTGCTAACAGCTGCACAGGTGTTAGGAAGGTACAATATGTAATGCCGGCAGAGGTACAACAAATGGAGTACCTGAGTAGCAATACAAAAGCTTATCAGTGCATTTGGAAATAAATGCTTTTGCATATGTTTTCTTCACCATTATTTAGTCAAGATGAGGTTTTGGGATCTCTGGTTCTATGATGGCATCTATTTATCTCTTGCCCTACATCTATTTATCTCTCGCTCTGTACTTCTAGGATGGCTGGTGGCTAGAAGGACCCATAAAAGATCTAGCTTTACCTATTCACTGTATTTTTGAGGTAGATAGATAATAGTGATCTTGATATGTGATTCTATAGTCTATACTACCAAAGTGTGAGAAGCAGTTAGGACAGACTTCTTCCTAAAGGTTGCAAGCTAAATTCAGAGCATGTGAAAGTGTGTAATAAGGTTGAATTGAAATATGGTTATCTCCTTCAGCTGCTGGATGCAGCTGGACAAAACAGTTTGATCCAGGAGAGAGTGCTAAGGGCAGTGGAAATGAATGCCAGCAGTGAGCACAGGAACAGATTGACCCTTCCAAAGAAAAGAGCCTAAGGTGCAGGATGTCATCACATGAGCGATGCTTTGGCTGTAGGGCTGAGGACAGGTTGAATTTGTTTCCTGCAGTGACCTACACATCCCACAGCCTTCTGCAGAAGACAGCAACGTCATTACGCTGCCAGGGGTGGTCAACATAGTACATGGCACTATGGTGTGGAGAAATGAGGGAAGACAGATAATGATGGGAGAGACTCTTCTCCCAAAAAGACAGTTCTCTCCTGTTTTGAAGAGACGTTTGGTTGTGTTTTGCTTAAACTTTTGCAGAAGAGATGCTTCCATGCTTGTAGAAAAAGAATGCTTTTGAAAGCACACATCAAAAATCTGATATATTGGTCCATTTGATATGTAGAAATGTCAAGAAGTTCAGGACTATCATTTTTAAGCTCACGGAGTACTGAAGAAAGCTTTAATACTGAAAATATCCTGTAACTAGATTTCTCTCTCTTTAGCTACCTTGTCAGGCTGTGCCTGGTTCAATATTTACCTTAGGTCAATATTTACCCATATCTCTAGTATAGGAACTCCACTGCTATAGTGAAGAAGAGTTTCCTACAGGTGCTTGGAAGAAATCATTACACACAGTGCAGAAAGAGCAGGAGAGACAGTCAGTGATACATTAGAGCTTATGGATGACATTGCTGTCCATGGGAACTCGTAAAGCCTAGGCATGAGGTACAGTGATGGTGGCGATGGAGAGGACCCCTAAAAGGCACCTCAATATATGATCTCCTGTCATTCCTTCCTGCTGGAGAGAATCCCTTACCTGGTTGGTTAATGAGGGCTTTGAGGTAGAACTTCCTGCCCCTTGTCCCTACCACAAAAAAAACACTATGGGCTTTGCTCGTCAAAATTGCGATCTGTGAGAACACGGCCCAAAACGACAGATATTGGAGGAGGGAAAGCTTTTTGCAAAGAAGAACCTGAATTTCTAGACCACAGTGTTCTGAAGGATAGGTCTTTTCCTCCTGCCTTCATGTTTTTCTAGAACCTTTCCAGATTGCAATGATATGCTTCTTTTCCACGCTCCCCAAATCTAGTCTTTTCTTCCACTCCCTAGAGATTGCATTATCCCTCTGTTCCCCATTTTTCTGAGGAACCTTGCAAACCATGCCAGCAGTGCCGGGCACCTGCTGGCTCTAGCTCTGCCTCGACTCCCAGTCCCAGTGCCAGAAGAGCTTCCCCCGAGGCATATCCTTCCTCATAAGGCAGCTGCTTTTCTTCTTCCTGCAAAAATTGCCACTGGAGCTGGGCATAACAGCCAACATAAGGCGAACATGCCTTGTGCTCTTCTTTCCTGCTCTTGCCCTTTGGAAGGTCCACAAAGTAAGATAGTAGCCAATGAAACAGGTGTTATCCATCAAAATATAATAAAAATACAGTTATATAAATAACATTAACACAGTTGCCTATAACCTTTTGGGAATCAGTAATTGGAGCAGCATGAAGTCCTACAGGTTTGTTAAGATGGACTAATGAAACCTTACAGAAAACAGTTATTCTAACCATGATGTTTTTGTATTGACTAAGCTGTAATTAAAGTAGATGTTTGGGAAGGACATCGATTGTAGTCACTGGCATTAAAATAACACAGTGACTTTTTTTTTTTTTTTGGTAAAAGTGTTTATATTCTAAGTTACATAGGAATGGAGGTAAGGGATTACTTGTACAAGAAGGGATCTCACATTCCCATTTGAGCATACAAATGACCCAAAGAATAGTGTTCACATGCACTTAGTAGGGTACTGGACCACACTTCAGTCTCCCAAGGTCCCTTTCCTCCCTTAGCCCTCCACATATTGCGCTTTGTATTTCAGGAGAGCTTGGGTATCCAATACATACCCAATCATCTCCGGATTTTGACAGAGAGAGGAGGCCAACATTAGTGATTTCTTAAAGGGAGTAACATGTTTTCTACCCTGACTTTCTTGGGATGGCTACTTTTAAGGAAAAAAGGAGGAAAAATCTCCCCCTACTGTACCGGTTCCTCTTCAGGAAGACCTGCAGCTCCCCAATTCATCATTCACCTGTTCCCACCTTGATATTTACTTTTTGCAAGTATGTTGAGTCTCCATAGTCCCAAAGACAAAAAAAAAAAAAAAGAGCGAGCTGTCCATTCCCTCCTTTGTCGCCAAATAGAGAGATGATTAAGCTATGAAATTCTAACACTTCTCAACCCCTAAATAGATGTTGGAATAAATGCATTAGGATTTTACTGGGAAAGGATATGGATAGATTTTGTGAAGTAAACTGACAACAAGTTTACCCTGACCTGTTCCTCATCAAAATCTTGCTTTGAAATGTTTTTTAAACAGCAGATGCAGCTGCTGACCAAGGTTCAAAAAACTGACATTACTAAGACGCAGCCAAGATTTCAGCAAGTCTCATGGCGACAATTCTGGACAAAGATAAGGCTTTGTTGTAATCGTGAAAGCTTGGAACACAGCTAATCATATGTAGAAAATGTCACAACAGAGATCATTGGCAGTCTTGGATCTAGTGGAGAGGAAGGAGAAAGAAGTTACCTCCAGAGGAATAAATGATGCTTATTTTCACAGTGTAATATAAACAGAATCTGTAATACAAAATCTCTGATTACATCTTTGTGATACTCTGATCAAAACTCACAGTCAATTATTCCACCATTCTTGCTTCCACCAAAGGAAAGAAGTTAAAATGGCTCTTCTTAAAATCAAAAGAAGAGAATAGCTAAAATTTCAATAGTTTATTGTGTTTCTAAAAATTCAGACTTCTTTTCAACAACCTTTCACATTTCACAGGCTTTAATTTCAGATTCGCACCTGGTCCTAGCCTAGGGGCAGAAATAAAAGGGTACAAGTCAAAACAGAGAGAGACAAACCTCCAGTATTTAGACAGGACATCTAACAGCACAGGGAAGCTACACATGTTCACACTGTGTTTGGGTTACTAAATAAATAGCAATTATTGTACTTCATCTCCTTTGAGCTTACTGAACTTTTAAAATTGTTCAGGAAGAGAGAAACTGCATTTATGTTCTACTGCTATTTGCATCAAAACAGGGTACTAAAAATAAAATATGAACAATGAGCCAGATAAGTTATTCCATGTATTCTTTATAAAAGCCCCACTGTATGTAGAAAAAAATGAGTTAAAACTAATTTCCCCTCTGTGTTGCTGCCCTGGTGAGAACGCAGTAAAAAAAGAAAAGTTTATATAAAGCAGTCCTAACCACAAATGTTAGAGTCATTCTACTAATGAAAACATGATTTTTATATATATATATCGAAAACATGCCCTAGTTTGAAGAAATACATAAAAAAGTTTATTATTATACAGGATAATAATAGTATATTATAGGCTATACTACTTGGCTTAAACAATGATTATACCATAAGCATATAGGCAGGTTGATATCTGTACAAACAGTTTTACCTAAAGTTATCCTTTTTTTTCCTGATGTTTTTCTCCACTTTGACAAGCTCTAAAATTAATTTTATATCATGTTCTTGAATTACAAATATTATAAACAAGAGAAACAGCCAAACTTCTTTTTTATTGGTAATGAGCTGAAAAAAAAAAAAACACAGTTAAGACTCAAAAAAACTTTACTAAAAATATGCTTTAAGGACATAAATAAAATAAGATGAATTACATCTGAACATGTTATATAGTGTACAAGTAGTTTTGAGATCCTAAACAGATGAAAAAGAAATAAAGCAAGGGAAAAAAATAAAAAGAGGAAAAGAAAGCAAAAGAGCTGATAAAGTTTCTGGCTACAATACAGGAGACATATCATTACCATATGATCTAATGTGGGTGTCAGCCTGGATTGTGTTCATTGAGAGAAACCTTATTTTTTAACTGTGCTATGGAATAGAAGCAGGAGGGTTTTCCACCAAGTGACAGTCACTGAGCTGAACTTACCCCCTCCTCCTTTCCACACCTGCAAAGCCTTTTGCCTGGGTTGAATATTTAGTTTAATTACATCTCAGCTTTGAGAGCTCCTGTTGCAAATCCCTGGATTAAAAGGTATGGTTTTCAGTAATTCTCCTGAACTATGCTGCAGACTAATAAAACTTCAGGCAAGTCTACGGCACGAGCTAGTTGAATTCTAAGAGAAGGAAGAAAAATCCTACTAAAAGTTTAGCGATGTTAAATGTTGTATCCAGCATTTTTGTTGCTTGAGAACATGAGAATGCGATCTCAAGGGCTGTGCATGTTTCCTACTGTTTGTTTGACTGTTCTGTCTTTTGTTTTGATTTGTATAAGCACTGCTATAGTCCTTTCTTTTTCCTTACTGTAAACTTTTGCAGCAGTATATATTCTCTGTTTGCAGTACAGAGTTTTGAGTGGGTGATGTAGTGAGTGTTAAAAATGTGTGAGTTAGTTTGTACGTTTCTGGTTATAAAGTATGCTCTGTGAAATTTTTCTTTCAGACTTCTTCATATGTATTCCAAATGAGTATAATTACAATTTCAGAGAGAAAAATGTGCAGTCGATAGCTAGACAGACTGAATGTATGCCTTTGTAATGTTAGAGCGTGCTGTGTTACAGTATACAAACAGGGGACTTGCATTTAAAGGTGCCTGCGAATTCAATAGAGAAAAGGATATTTCTGGAGTTTAAACTTGTGTCAATGGAGTTTTAATCTCTTTAAACTCCCAGATCTTGGGTTTCCACAGCTAGACGTTAGTGCACTAAATGGGTAAAACATATAACGTAGGGGATTTCTGGAAAATGCACATATCGTTCAGCTTGCTTTTTGTGGCGTTCTAAGAGATTTCTGACAGTGAATGAACTAATATTTAATACTTAATAATAAGGCAAACTGACAAGAAGACCACCAATATAGTGGTGACGTGAACTCATGAAGTATATTTCCAAGACTATTTTGAACTGAAATGTGGCCAAGTGTATGCTATAGTTTCCTCTGTTTGTGGGAAAGTCTTCTTCATTGTAAACATATAATTAAAGCAAATTTAAACAGTTATGTCCTGCAGACATAAATACTGTGTCACAGGCGTTTAAGAATTCAGATAATTTTTTCCCTCCCTGTTTTTTCCTAAGTGAAATGCAAACATTCCTTACTTGCACAGTTCTGTATATATTTTTTTATCTCACTGTTTACATTAATTTACAAATACAAACAATAGGAAGAGGTGTGTGTGCATGAAGTTGGAATATGTTTATTTATAAAGATAGGTATGCACACATATCTGTTCCCATTCCCTGACAGATATGTAGTTTTTATCTGTTATATTCTGCACTTTCTCCTCAGATTAGATCCTTGCAATCCTTTGTTATCCTGCAGTTCTCTCTCATACACAACTGCTACTGAATTTGTTACAGTTTTGGCAAAGCAATGAAGGAAAGGCCCTGTGCAGTGTTTAACTGAGATAAGTGAAGTCATTAGTGTTAATGTGAACGAAAAGTGTGAAGATACTGCCAATGTGTCTTTGAATAGTTTTTCTGGGCAATAATTTATCTCCAGGAAAGGGTCCTGAATGCACATTCCTGGAGTGCATGGTCCTGCAGCAGTGCTATTAGCAGGAATACAAGAAGATTTTTAAAAATATATGACACTATGTGAAAAAGAACTGGAGCAGTACCATGCCAACTTTTGTATGCAGCCTGCCCCATGTTTATTGATGCTAATGGGTGCTCTGAAATCTGATTTGCTCTGTTAGCATTTTATTGATCTTTTCCACAAAGCAGCTCACTACAGCGAACAGTTTACTGAGTTTGTCCTCCTGTTTCAAAGCATTCATAAGCTGCACTGTGGTTTTACAGCTGTGCACACAAAGGATGAGCTGGGATGGGGACAGGGACTCACACCACCCCGCAGTGTCATCCTTGCCCCTCTGCAGGGGCGGTGCTGGGGAAGGACCCGGCCCTGGCGGGGCATGTTTGTCACAGAGGCAACTTAAGTAAAGTCTGACACCACGTGAGCTTGCTGTGAAGTCACGAGGACATTTAAAGGCATTAAATACCTGCCTTCCTGTTAGGTGGAAGGCAGAAGTGCTGGCTATCTTTTTAAAACACTAGCATATTTTAGACGGTAAAAGAAGTGAAGATGAAACGCTTAGCAGGGTTGCATTAAGGGCAGCTGTTTGAGCAAATTTATAAAGGAAATTGAACCCAGGCATGATAGAGACTGCATCTAATTCCAGGCTTGTGATTTGTGTTTGTTTAACTTTTTCTTATACTAACCAGTTCCTTTATCATACCTGGATGCAGTATTCTAGAAAGAAAGGCCCTACTATGCTCACTGATCACCAGCTGTCTAAGGCATCTAGCAGCTTCCTTCTGTCGGTGGAGAGAGGGAGACTCTCATCCTCCTCTTCCTCTCAACCGTGTTGTTTTACTTCTCGATTAGTCAGTATGGAGCTGAGAAATGGTATGCCATAACCATAGGCACGGTAACTCCTGCTAGGTAAGAAAAATCCGCCTTTAGTACCCTGATAATGTATTCCAGAAGTGAATTTCAATGCCCTGGTTTTGCAGCCGAAGAAGCAAGTGAACATTTTTGCCTTATTTACAAAGAGCAACAACTGTATTTAACACTATGTTATCCATTTTAAGATGAGACTTCTAACCAAAGGATAAGAGTTTCTGTTAGTAGATGACTTTAAGGGTTTTTTTTCCCTTTTTTTTTTTTTTTGGAGGCTGGTGATGACACCGTTTTGTAGTCCCATGAAGTTCTGTATAAAATAAAGAAAAGCTTATATAATGCAGATAGCAAAGGAAAATAATTTTCAGAAAATGGCTGATCTATATAGCCTTGATGCAAAACCTGAAAAAGCTGTTGTGTAGTTTCTCTTCAGAATGCAACAACATATTGCAGTGTACAGTATTGTGAAGTGAATGTCTTAGTCCTGAAAACACATATTTAAACAGTTTTCCTTGAAAGCTGGCAGAACGAGGCCCAATATAAAGTATGCTGACAATTCTACAAGCACAAATTCAAATGCTTATGCAGTGCAAAAAGAGTTTTTTCAGAGCACATTGCTATAACATTGGATGCCATAGCCAAAAATCTGGAAAGAAAGCCAAAAACATCCAATATAACACAACATTGTATTCAGTTTTATTGTGCTATTTAACTGAGAAAGAAGTATAGTTCATTTAAATGGCCAAAGATCTTCCTCTCTCTCTCCACCCCATCACTAGATCTTACTCTATTTCCCAATCGGTTCTACTAGACTATAATTTAAAACACACAGCAAGCTGGCACTTTAAAAAAAGTTTTTTCAAGACATGAAATAATGCGTTACAGTGAATTTGGGAACCTCAGGTTCATCCCCAGGGAAGAAACTCATTGCCATGAAACAAATGCTAATGAAATCAAATAGACTGTTACGTTGGCAGAAAACGGACAAATGGAAAATGTGGCTTATTGTGTTGACTCTTTTGCATAACAAAGTTGACAGTGCTGCCTGTTCCTAATAAATATTACTTTAATATACAAACAGATGTGTTTACAATTGCCTCTAAACTGCTCTGTAAAAAAAAAAAAAAAGAAAAGCTTATTGACAAGCAGTTACCAGACTCCTATCACATAACTGCCCTATTTTCAAAATTCAGTTTTCACTTACTGAAAGGAACAGTTATGCAATTGGTGGATATGCTGGACCTCCTCCAGCAGGAACTGTGCAGCTATGGAAAACTGCTACTTTTGGTTTAAATCTTCTGCTTTGATTCCTAGGTCCTGCTCGGAGTCAATGAACTAAGCCATGAAGCTGGCTTTCCTCTTCGTCCTACTGCTGCCAGTATGCTTGGCCAAGCCATTCCACCAAAAGGGCTTGTTTGACTTTATGCTAGAGGATGAAGGGTCTGCTGATCTGCCTCCAACAGAGGATCCTGTCATATCTGGATTTGGACCAATATGCCCCTTCCGCTGCCAGTGTCACCTTCGTGTGGTGCAGTGCTCTGACCTAGGTAAGCCATAAAGTACCTTCATAGCATATGCATATATTTACTTTCTCAGTGAGGGTTTGCAGCTAGGATGGCTGGGCTGCTGAGCAGTGCTGCGTTGTGACTGGATTCTTGTCAAAGAGATACGTTAAGGTTACAGTTAGCTAGAAGGAATTGCATGTAGTAGGCCATAAAACCCTGGCAAGCTGAACATTTGTTGTGACCATACAACGTTTGATCTTTCATGTATATTTTCTATAGATATATTTTATTCATTCTTTGAAAGACCGCAGATATCTCTTGTAGGGAAGATCACTTTCAAGACTGTTCCTAGCAATGCCTATTAAATAAATTCAGTGAGGTTAGATGTGGTGTTGGAAACATTTAAGAAAGCTTAAATTGTATAGTCCAGATTCCAGCACCCTCAATCATACTGACTAGTACCTCAACATAGAAATTGTCCTATTTCCATAGGATTACATGAGCATGGAATAACCAACCCTGAATCAAATATTCTGGGACTAGTTATTTGGAGGAAACAGTCTAGAAACACTCCAATGCAATGAAAACAATTTTGGAACTCTTTATAAAATATCTTCCTTAGGTACTTTTAAAGTATAAAATATGTGAATCTTTTTCCCAAATGCCCCTTCCTCCGTCATGTATGACAGCTTGTCTATGCAGTTAGACTGAGAGTATGAAGCCATGCCCACATTACTGTATTCAGAATGTCTCATGCAGAAATCTCAAGTAATGAAGCTGACTTCACTGAGGCTGCTCTTGGTTTTAGCCAGCGTTACTCAGTTTTTGTAAGTCTGTAGTGTAGTGCAGAACTCGCTTGAAGATTTTTTTTTTCTCATAAGGAAATTAGTCAACTTCTTCAGGCAGACAAAGAACTGCTCTTACAATTTTATAGAGTACATGTTTTGAAAAAGGTCTTCTCTCAGCTGTTTCAACATAGTACTAAGTGTTTCTGTGTTCTGATGTTCTGCATTTCCTTTGGTTATTACTGTAAATGATGGCTCAGATCCACCTATTAGGACTTGGGTCTCATTGCGGTGGGCATTGTATAATTACAGAAAAGAGAAGGAAATGTCAGTTACATCCCTGGAAACGTCTGTGAACTTATTAAAGCAAGCCATGTAATTACACAACGGATATGTTTGGCAAAGACCCAGTGAACAATGTGAGCCAAGTTGCACAAATGAGCATGGACTAACCTACCTTTCATAAAGCTTTCACAGTACTAGCCCAGTTCAAAGACAATTTTTTTTTTTTACCATTTAGATACTAGATAGTAGCAATTACAGTATGGCCAGCATGTTGCCACACACACCATGAAGACCTTAGGCTTTTATTTTTGCAACACTGGCTAACCTTCATGGAATTTAAATTATCTGGGGAATCTGTCCCCAATCTGCTTCAGTTCTGCAGAATGTAGGGAGCTTTGACTGAGCAAAAAAGTAGAGATATTCACATAAGGGCCCTTTGTTGCTCTATTTGCTTCTGTATTCATTGGGTTCTCCTTCACACACACACAGAGTTTCCAAAGGGTTGCACCACAATCCACTACATACAATTGCTTCTGGGTTAATAAATTTCCATACTGTCAAGAAGACTCAGAAATAAAATGATTAAAGCTCCAGGTCTGTGTTTCCCAGATAATTCCAAGAGGGGTGATAAGAAAGAAATACATTTTCAGCTTAGCTTAAGCCCACACAGTGCAGATATGGGAATGAGAAGACTGTGCTTTTGAAGTGGCTGACCTGATAATATCCAGTCTCTGGGCACCAAGGAAGAGAGATCTTCCTGGGGTTAAAAATATATAGCCCTGAAAAATCAGGGCCTATTTGCCTGGCAGAGCTCAAGGAAGTGATAATTGTTCGTATTTCTCTCATCTTAGCACGAATTTAATCTGTCCTTGCTACACATGTCTATTGCAGCCCCTTATGGACTGTGACCCACACACAAGGCTTGTCAGGACCCAGGGCAGATGGCCACCCCTCAGAGAGCAGAGGCAGGATAGCTGTATGTGCCAGGTCAGATATCTACTTGCTCACAGGGGGAACCTGCCTTTAACACTCAGTTTCTCTGCTCTCTAATTCATTCTATGTGTCTTGGACTCATTCAGTACCAAATTAACCCTTGAGTTGGATCCAGGAACTCCAAACTGTGTTTCAACCACGGAAGTCCCTCCGGGACAAGACAGCACATTCTTGGCTGCCAGATGAAGGGGTGCTCAAGGCACAGAGATCAGAAATGCAGACAGAAGCCATGAAACCCCCCAGTGAGAATTCCGCCTCCATGCAGATGATCACTTTTGGCCTCTGTTTCCCTTAAGCTCTAGGCATTTTCTACCCAACCAAATTAGCTACCTCCCTCCTCCTAAATTACAAGATTTTAATCATCTACTCCCATGGGCACTTACTGAAGAAACACTAGCAAGCAATAACAGAGCCTTCCCCCCAGGGATATACAAGGAATTTACTGCATTAAATCCCTGCCATGAGGCAGATTGAAATCTGGACATCATATCTGTTGTGGAAGGAGGGTCCTCTGCAGCCACGCACTGCAGCAAACCATGAGCATACTGGCTGTGGGAGGCACGGGGTAGCCACAACCTCCATTCACCAGGAGACCCACAGCTTCAGAAAGCTGCTAAATCAAGCTTGCCATTGACAGGTCTCACATATTGAGCCTCTCTTATCACCTGAACTTCTGGAACTTGGTTGAGGTAATCCCTAACACTGATCACGTATGGTGAGGTCTCCCTTTTATTGTATGCTTCATTTTGTGCTCAGAGAGGCATTAACTTCTTGTTAACTATTGCTACGTAAGGAACAAACCCACTGTAAGACTCAGTTATGTGAACAGGACAGGAGGAGAACTAGCAAAGTCCAGAGACCAGCTTTGTCCTTTTTACACTCCTCTTCTTTGTCCAGCTGCCACATCCTATGAGTACTGGTTGGAAATATTTTTTTAAAGTCCAAATTCAATAAAAACAGTGAAAAGTGCCCGGTGGTCCAGTTACACTCATGTCAGCTGAATTTCTGCATTCCTGTATTTTTAAGCTTCAGTCACATCTTCCTAAGTGCATGCCTTTGAATTAATTTATTTTGCCTCCAAGCCAAAAGCTGAATTAGCAGGAAGAAGAAAAGCTGTCTTCTCACACTCTGAAGAAGAATTCTCTCAGAGTTGTGGTTACTGACAGATCAAGAGCAGGGTCCAATCTGCCTACCTCATAGAAGATTTATTACCTTTGTGCAACAGGCCCAGTCCTCTCTTCAAAGAAGGGGGATTGCTATGGAAATGCTGCACTTTCTGAATCTGCCTCCTGTTGCCTAAAGGGAGCTATTGGTTAATTTTTTAATCAGTTGTAGGTATGTGGCATTACTGTGATATAGTCAGTCTTCCCACAGAGACTGCAGACATCTTCCTAATTAATATGTGCTACAGATACAGGAGGGAGTCAATATAGTTGGTCAGAGGCAGCTCCTCATCTGTCAAAATAATATATACAGAGAAGACATCCGGTCAGCTGGCCAGCCAAACATGCCTCATAAAAGAAGGAAGGATTAATGGTTCCCCTTTAAGTCTCAACTCCCAAAGGGAGTTGCAAGACGAGGTTCCTCCCAGAGGTCTCTGGTGGGCAGGAGGACGTGTGTACTATCAGCCTTTCAGCAGATACAGAACACTCCAAAAGTATACTCAGAGGTGTTGGCCAGTGTTTTTTATCACCTCACTTTCTTCCCTGTGCCTGTCTCCCCCTAAAAAGAGAGCAGCAGTGGTATTCTGCAGACTGCAGGAAAAAGCCTGTGCCTAGAGGCTGCACAGGACACAAGGGGGTCCCTCCAGCCCTCTTACCATCAGCACCATGGGGAATTTGTGGTCTCCAAAAGGTGCACAAGAGATGCATGTCAGGAATGAAGGTTCAAGCCATATTACAGCTCAAGCTGGAATTTTACTCACAGCTCAGAAATGCAGAGTTTCTCCAGCTGTAAAATAAAGAAGGGTGTATTTAAGCTCAGCATGGGTGCTGGAGTGTGTGTTTGAAAAGCACTTTGAGATCAGTGGGTGAAAAGCTCACAAATGTGTAAAGCATTACTCCAGCAACATGAGGCATTTTATTTGAAAACATACAGCATCTAAGCTGTATTAACTGAAGGCCCTTCAACACTTGAACCCTGCTAACGTGACAACAGTTAATTTATCTCTTCATGAAACATAATTTATCTTCTTGCATAAATTTTTCCAGAAAAAAATGAAAAAATGTTTTCTGATCATGAATCAGTTTGGGAACCTCATCTATATGCAAAGGAAATTATGTTCCTTTGGGGCATACCTAGTTTTGAACTTCGCTTGTCAACAAGAAATCTTTTTAAAGAAAAGTAATATCTACTTCATTGGCGATCAATGTCAGTCATTTATGAGTTCAAGAAAACTTTTTGTTGTGCACTTATCTTTAAAATCTCTGACATTCTGTTTGAATGTTTTCTTTCAAAAACTTAATGTTTCAAGGTAAATGTATTGCTGATGGGTATCTAAACAGATAATAAGAGAAACCAGACCTTATCAAATACAATGGGAAAGGAAAGGAAAGGAAAGGAAAGGAAAGGAAAGGAAAGGAAAGGAAAGGAAAGGAAAGAAAAGGAAAGAAAAGGAAAGGAAAGGAAAGGAAAGGAAAGGAAAGGAAAGGAAAATTTACATTCTACTTGCTGAGCCTGGAGGATAAGTTATTGCATGTTTTATGCATTTTTTTTTCCTTTTAACAATGAAGACTAGAGATTTATTCTTATTTTGTTTAATAAAAGCTGAGTATGTCATGCAATCGCCTGGCTCCAGGAATTGGGATATTTAATAAAATATTAATAAAACCGGAACCATAAAATCTGGAAATGTTGCCATTTAGAGTGAGATAAGCCTTTGCATTCTAATATCATGGTCTTCACATGTCCAGAAATTGCCTTTCTGGACAATATGCTCTAACCAAACTTTTGCTCTTGTCAAACACAAGCTGTTGGGCT